GTTCAAGAAAGATGAGGAACTCCTAGAAAGAGTCCAGAGGAGAGCAACTAGGATGATAAAGGGACTGGAGCATCTCCCCTACGAGGAAAGGCTGAGAGAGTTGGGCTTGTTCAGCCTGAAGAAGAGAAGACTGAGAGGGGACCTCATCAATACATACAAATATCTTAAGGGTGGAAGTCACAAGGATGGAGCCAGATTCTTTGCAGTGGTGTCCAGCGACGGGACAAGGGGCAATGGATACAAACTGAGACACAAGAGGTTTCAGTTGAATATGAGGAAAAACCTTTTTACTCTGAGGGTGACAGAGCACTGGAACAGGCTGCCCAGGGGGGTTGTGGAGTCTCCTTCTCTGGAGATATTCAAAGCCCTCCTGGACGAAGTCCTGTGTAACATGCTCTAGGAGAACCTGCTTTAGCAGGGGGGTTGGACTAGATGATCTCCCGAGGTCCCTTCCAACCCTTGCGATTTTGTGATTCTGTGAATACACCTGCCTACACCCAGCACTGTGCCCAGGGCTGTCCTCACATTGGAAGTGCTTGCCAGCCAGGGCTGGATGCCTCCAATGGCTGCAGCAACTGTTCTGTTTCCCAGCTAGCTCAGCAGACTGAGACTCTTGATCTCAGGGTTGTGGGCTGAAACCCCACATTGGGCACCAAAAAGGACCATCATACCCCACCCGGAAACTCAGCACCACCCAGCTGCTCACTCAATCCCCCCCCAGCGGGCTTGGGGGAGAGAATGGGAAGGGTAAAAGTGGGAAAACTCGTGGGTTGAGATAAAAACAGTTTAATAATTGAAATAAAATAATAATATATTGTAATGAAAAGGAAAATAAGAGAGAGAAGTAAAACCCAAGAAAGACAAGTGATGCAAATGAAAACAATTGCTCACCACCAACTTTCTGATGCCCAGCCAGTCCCTGAGCAGCAGCCGACCTTCCTCCAGTTTTATTGCTGAGCATGACATCATATGGTGTGGAATATCCCTTGGGTCAGTTGGGGTCAGCTGTCCCAGTGGTGTTGCCTCCCAATTTCTTGTGCACCCCCAGCCCACTCGCTGCTGGGGTGGGGTGAGAAGCAGAAAAGGCCTTGACCCTGTGTAAGCCCTGCTCAGCAATAACTAAAGTATCCCTGTGTTATGGACACTGTTTTCATCACAAATCCAA